AGGGGATAAACAATAATGTACGTACAGTGGAAAATAATGTAAATGCTTTTTTAACCTTAAACCACATAAACACGTTGCATTACACCAAATACACAAAATAATGTTCTTTTTAGCAATGTCATATGACCCCTTTAAAACTTTTTATCTTTTTAGCAATGTCATATGACCTCTTTAAAACTTTTTATTTAGAGTTATCCATTCATCCATCCATTTTCCAAAACTGCTTATCCTCTGTAGGGTTGCATGACGGACATGAATTTTGTAGCTTCTTAAGTGGATTTGTGCCATCACACATATAATGTTAGTTTCAATTTTAATTACTAAGACAGTAAGTAAGGCTTTACTTCTAAAGCAAATAGTAAAACAATGTTTACAAAGTGCTTTACAGCAGTGGTTCTCAACCAGGGGGTCCGGTCCCACTAGGGGGCCTCAAAGCAAACTTTCAAGGGGCCACATGATGACTTAAAATCATTTAAAGTAATATATCATTATTAATAAAATGTATATTAATATATAGAAATCACAAAATTCATTGTGGCTAATTTATATATCAACGCTTCTACTTTCTGTTAATAAAAAAGCAAGTGGTGTTTTCATAAATACAGCAGAAATTACGAAAGAGATCTCTTACCCTTTATTGGGGGCCTTTGAGTCAAAAAGGCTGAGAACCACTGCAGAACAAATATAAATGTTTTGGAAAATATAAACAATAAAAAACATCATAAAATAACTGAATAGAACTGAAGGAATAATAAAATATAGATTTCACTTATACATTTTTAGAATTTTCATATATGTCCATTTATTAGTTTTCCATTAATATTTTCCATGTCTCTTCTTTATTTATTTGCACTATTTATATTGAACCCAAACCATATCTAAGGGCCATAATCACCCAGAACACCTTAGCAACCACATAGCAAGATGCTAACAACCAGTCAGAGTCCTTTAGCAACCACTCAGAATATAAAACATATAAAAATATGCACTATTTTGTGTTTAGAGGGGACTGGACGCCTGTTTTTTGAGTTCTACCGCCTCTTGAGTGAAGCCAAACCGAAGGAAGGGGAAGACCGACCTTTCTTCTGGATGTTTGAGAATGTGGTCGCCATGAGCGTCAATGATAAGAGAGACATCTCACGATTCCTGGAGGTTGGACTTTTATCAGTGGTTGCTGTTGTTAGAGATGAATTGATCTGGTTAATTCTGATTTCAATTTGTTTTTGTGTATCTCTAGTGTAATCCAGTGATGATTGACGCCATTGAGGTATCAGCTGCACACAGGGCACGTTATTTCTGGGGAAACCTGCCAGGAATGAAGAGGTATTTGCCATCTCATCTTCCCCAGTTCCTCTTAAATAATCTCGAGACACCATCTCTAAACCTTTTTGACCAGCATCACAATACAAATGAAAACATGATATATGTACTTAAAGCAAGTTTGAAATGAATCCGCTTTCTTTCAGACCGCTGTGTGCGTCTGGGATGGATAAATTAGAGCTTCAGGACTGTTTGGAACATGGCCGTGTTGCCAAGGTAAGTTATGTGTAAAGCCAACGGGCCTTTATTGATTTACTCTATTTATTCAGTTCATGACCTTGAGCAGGCTGTACCAGGAGAAAAACTTTAAATCTAACTCTGTCTTTAGTTTGGTAAGGTACGCACCATCACAACACGATCCAACTCCATCAAACAGGGCAAAGACCAACACTTCCCTGTCATGATGAACGGCAAAGAGGACATCCTGTGGTGCACTGAGCTCGAGAGGTGAGTTCGCAACAACAACAATTGGATTTTTTGATTATATCGAAAAGTCGAGTGCTTGTGTACTTGTGTGCTGATTTCATATGATTTTGAAAAACCTTTAAAAACTTTTTCAACAACCAGTTAAATTTAATGACTCTAAGAATGTCAGGTGGTGTAACCATCAAGTAAAATGTAACATATCAAAAGATTTTTTTTTCAAGGTACAATTTTTTGTAATTTTTTTTTTCTTTGTACCATATGACATTTTACAACTAACCTTGTCATGTCATAAAAATGTCAAATTATCTGATAGTTTATGAGATTTATTGACCTACAAACAGTCATGAAGATCTGCAGTGGTTATTTCTATGATACAATTTCCTGTTTTAGGTTTCACTTTGAGTTGGACAAAGGTTTTTAAAAATCATTTTAATATTTAATGAACTGCTTGATTAGCCTATTTAATAAAGTTTCTTTTCAAGGATTTCTTTCATTTAATGAGTCATTTCCATTCATTATGATATCAGGAAGGTTTTTTTACCTCCCTGATTTTTGACTTTATGCCTTTTAAGTGTCAAAATTCATTCAAAATTTCATTCTAATAAATAATTAAATTATTCAAGTCATCGTGTATTGAAGTCCATTCATATTCATAAATTGCATTTTTTAGTATTGTTAATTGAATTAATAGATTAAGAAATATGCATCACGTAATTGACCAAAAACTCTCTTATTTTCTCCTCCTCAGGATTTTTGGCTTTCCTGTCCACTACACTGATGTGTCCAACATGGGCCGTGGCGCCAGACAGAAGCTACTGGGACGGTCTTGGAGTGTTCCTGTAATCCGGCACCTGTTCGCCCCATTGAAGGACTACTTTGCCTGTGAATAACACATGTAGTCCGTGATCAGTTAGTCCAAAGTCACACAACAATCATCGTAAAGTACAAAACCAAATGTCCTCAGTAAGGAGCTCTTGGAGACTAGCTAACCTCCACATTTACAAGACGATCTCAGCTTTGCAAAGACAAGCTGAGACGTTGAGCTGACTTGAGGACGTGGGTAGTCTTGACCAAACTCAAGGTAGACGCTGTGTTGTGATGCTTAGAGTGTCACTTAGTAAAAACACAGTTAGCTTTTGTACTAGCCATTTTTATATTGATGTGCCTGTCAAGGTCTTTGAAACTGTCAGGATTCATCTCGACACATGCAGGTAGATTTTGTCCTTTGTTATCATGAGAAAAAAAAAAAACATAACATTGTCAATGTTGCCTTAAAATCTTTAAAAAAAAAAAAAAGTTTTTACGGCTTATCTGGCTAAGGAATGTACAAATCTACATAGATTTTTTTTATTATGTAAAAGAATCAGTATACTTGCATGTGACGCATTTCCATGGTATTGTTGGTGTGAGAAAAATACTTGAAATCTATCAATGCAAATGTACAAACACCAAGCTGTGAGCCCTTAGAAAATGCATTTCAAAAGATGCGTGAAAAGAATCGATGCCCCGTTCGTGTTTCATACAGTCTACATTCCCTCTGTAACATTGCACAATAACAGTATAACCAGAAGGTGTTTATTAGCAGAACTTGAGGGCATTAGCCTGCTAAACATTACACGACTGTTTTCTTGACGAGTAATTTGTGTCAAATAATTACTCAAGATAGAGATCTGTGTACTGTATTTTAACCTTGTAATGAATGTTTACAAACTTTAACACATTTCAACACGTTTTTTAAAGCTTTCTTATTATACCTTGAATTTTGTTTTAGATTGACCTCTATAAAGAGGGACTGGTGTAGATGTAAAATGTTAGCTCTATATGGGTTTCTCTCAGATAGAGGCTTTCATTTGTCTTAAGGGACTGTTGTTTTTATACTTGCTGTTGCTACACACAATAACAAATGCATTGTATCACGCATTGTAGCTTAAAAGCGATGCCTCATCTGTCTAAAACACTTAATGTGTGGTGCCTTTTGAAGAGAACAGATACAGCCTGCCATGCGGGGGGTTGCGAAGAAATTTTCTGCTTTTGTTCGATAGACCTAATGCTGTAACACAAGCTGTTTTATACGTCTAATTGTATGCTTAATGTAAACTACTGTCCAAACTTAAAGCTTGAAGACCATAAAGTAACCTTAATACTTTATAAGACATTGAACAGAATTACCGTTGGATACTGCATGTAAATTACACTCATTTGTCCTGTACACATCTTGACAGGCAAAAATGTACGTAAAACAGTGCAAAGATGTGCTTATTGTCATTTTATTTTCTTAAAGGTTTTTTACTGTAGTGTAAACACAGTTTTGATATCGTAGCCTTACTATTTTGCTTGGTAGATCTTTAAATTTGATATATAAAGCTGTCTTTTTACTTGTTTATTTGGTAACAGGATGAACATGTTAATCTATACCTTTGAACATTAACAGTGCTTTTATACAGTCCATTTATATTTACTTTATTTTTATACTTTTTTTCTTATAGTTTTTTTTTGTATACAATTTATTTTTCTTTTGGGACTTATGGTATAAAACTCAAATAACCAAAAAAAAAAAATTTTAGTATCCTGAGCAAAACCAATAAAGACAGATTCCAAAGCTGTTTGAGCTTGTGATTTGTGTTCAGTGTCTGCTTTTAATTGTGTGGTTATGACTGGGGATCATATCTACCGATTAGAAATTAATATAATCATAAAGCTTATGTTTTTAAAAGGAGCCTTGTAAAACTGACTAAATTCACTTTTATCAGATGCATTTAAATGCATCTAAATGCCTTTACATCTTTAAAAACTATTTTGTCCAATTAAATGCTCTCTAAAACGAAAAGGTCCAATACCACCTGCACATCATGGATATTTTTAAAAAGGGTGATTAAGTCAAGGGAATTTAAAGCAAAATGTTCCAAATGAAAAAAACATGAACTAGTGGTCAACATTCCAAATGATTTTTCTTGCATATCCTCCTTATGCTGCAATACTTACTTTCTCCTGCTCTCATAAATCTCATTGACATAATGCAACATCGTTAAACTTACATCTTGTATTTCAGACATTTTAAAAAGCTCCACCGCAAAGACATGCCACTTCTGACGGCAGCAAGCATTACAAAATTAAAATATTTATTTACAACCAAAAACTGATAAGACTGCAGAGATAACTGGTTCATTCTTGGTATTCGATGCCTTTTGGACATCATGAAATACAGAAAATCAAAAACAGATTTTAAAATCTGCTTTAGTCAATTTGTGCAATCATGATAGGGAGATAAAAAAAACATCTGAAAAATGATTTTGGTCAAGTTCAGGCAAAAAATAAATAAAGAATAAAATTGAAGACCAAAAATGTCCCCCCCTGTTAGGGACAAATGAACAACAGTTTAAAATACTTGATTTTGTATGGGCATTGTGGACATCGGCTATCTTTAAGAAAACTCATGTCCCTTTGTCAATTTAAAAATGAATCAGATAAATTAGCCTATTTAACAATGTATTAGGCTATGTATGAATTGTACTTATTGTACATTGTACATCACTTATTATACACATAAATTGTACATCATTTTACATGTTTGTTTTCAGCTAGGCTGCAAATGCATGTTTTTGTTATGTTTTTAAAGCTATCAATGGTTCTCAACTCCAGTCCTCGGGAGTCGGGACCCACTGCTCTGCACATTTTGTAGGCTACGTCTCCCTTATTTAACGCACTTGATTCAGATCACCAGCTCGTTAGGAGAGAGATCCATGAACTGAACTGCGTGTGTCAAATAAGAGACGCATGCATAGGCCTAATGGGCAGAGCAGTGGGTCCCGAGGACTGGAGTTGAACCACAGGCCTACATTCGCTATTGAATTTTCATTGACACGGATTTATTCGTTTTTTTCTGGATTATTCGTTTATTTTCTATCATGCTCTATTTTTATTAGTAAGGAAAATAAAATAAGGCTTGGTATTTTAATGTGGCACAAGAAAATATTTCAGTCCGCCAGCTTGTTCTGTTTCTCCTGATTAGTTACTTTGTGTTTCGCTGTATTAATATGAAAACCACTGCTTCTGTTTTATCTCCAAATCTCACACCACTTTGCCGTTTTTTCCACACAGTGCTTTAAAATTGTCTCCCCCTTTTCACTTCTGATTCCTATCAGCGGTGTTCACTGTAATATTTCTCAAGCTAGGAAATACATTTATCTGTAAAAATGAAGAAAGCCGTTTAAAATGTCCATCAGTGTAAGAATTACTATATGGTAATATTCTTGAACAGGTAGATATGGTGAAATTTCTGGGAGTATGGCTTGATAAAAAGTTGACTTTTAATGTACAAATTGAGAAACTGATTACAAAGTGCAAAAGAGCATTAAATGTTATGAGATGTCTGGTAGGTTGTGAGTGGGGGGCACATATATTGCTCTATTATATCAGCAGTTGATTATGGTTGTATGGTATTTGGAACAACAAGCGATACTCAACTAAAGAAAATAGATGTTACTCAGATGCAGGCTTTGAGAATGTGTTGTGGGGCTTTACGTACTTCTCCTGTGAATGCTATTCAAGTTGAAATGGGTGAAATGCCAGAAGTGAGAAGGCAACAAATAGCTATGAATGATTGGGTATCTTTATACACCCAACTAAGTCTGTGTTTCATGAGAGTTGGGAACATACCAAAGACAAAATCAAAAGCATAGGCTGGACAGGAAATAGAATGGCTCAAATAATGGGTATAGATCAATGGAAATACTCTCAAAGTGTGCCATTACCTGCGTGCCTCCATGGTTATTTTCCTATGCCTTGTATAGATACTCACGTTCAAGAACTAATTAAAGAAAATAAGGACTCATTTAGTAAATCAATATATAAAACAAAAATACAGTAATATTGTTAATATTTTTACAGATGGTTCAAAGGACCCAGAATCGGGAAAAGTAGGAACAGCGGTATATGTTCCAAAGTACCAGGTAGCTATCAAAAAGAGAATTTCAGATAATTTATTGGTATTTACAGCTGAGCTTGTAGCAATATATTTGGCTCTATACAGTGTGTGGAAGAAGTGAGGCTAGACAAGGTAGTCATATGCTCGGACTCTTTAGCAGCTTTAAAAAGTCTGAAATATGGACTTTCTAACTGTAGACAGGATATAATATATGAATTATTGCAGTTAGTGTACATACTGCATAATCAAGGAATTAACATCCATTTTCTTTGGATTCCTGCTCATGTAGGAATAGAAGGAAATGAGATAGTGGATAAACTAGCAAAAAGCTCATTAAAATGCAGCCATGTTGAAATTACAATTCCCATGAGCAAATCTGAAACTTATTAGAAAAGCTACAAATAATCTATGGGAGCAAATGCGGGACAGAGGAACAAAGGGAAGACATTTATATAGATTTCAAGGAAATGTGGGTAAAGAAAGGATTCACAACAATATTAAGAAGAAAAGAAGAATCAGTTATAACAAGATTACATATAGGTCATACTGGATTTAATGGTAATTTATACAGGTGCATCTCAATAAATTAGAATGTCGTGGAAAAGTTCATTTATTTCAGGCCTGTATAAAATTAAAAAGCATCACAATGGGTTACACTGTCATTGTAATGTAGAAGAGACAGTTGAACATGTTATTTTATATTGTACAGAGTATGAAAATGAAAGACGAGTGTTGTTCATAAAATTGCAGGAAAAAGGAATCCAAGACATGTCATTAAAAAATATGTTGGCAAGAAAACAAGGTATGAAAGATGAGGTGTTACAATATATAAAAGCAACAAAAATATATATATTTGAGAATATAAATAAGAAATTAAATAGTATGAGTGTTATTTATGTATTTAGGTATAATACTTTGTATTTAATAGGTTTTGTGTATTAAGGTATGTTTATTTATTTATTAATA